TTGGAAGCATGAGACAAAATAGACCCTGTCTTCCCAGAAAGGGATAGAGATGGTGGTCTGGGCAGTTACCAACATTGGCAATAAAAAGGATCCCCCTACAGATCTAACTCATTAAAATGATAGTAAGAAAACATTATGAACAATCTTATGGTCATAAATTCAACAATGAAGATGAAATACACCATTTCTTGAAAGACACAAGGTACCAAAATTCATTCAAGAAGAAATAGTACTTTGCCTATGAAAGAAAGTGAACTCATAGTTTATCAAAAGAAGGAAGAAAACCTCCAGGTTCACATGGTTTCACTGGATGAAATCTACCAAAGACTTAAAAAAATAATATCAGTTCTACAGGGTCCCTTTCAGAACATTCAAGAGGAGGGACTGTTTCCTACTTGCTCTATGAGACCAACAATGTATATGTGTGTGTATCATATAGCGTGTGTGTGTGTGTGTGTATGTGTGTGTGTGTGTGTATGTGTGTGTGTGTGTGTGCTATGCAGTAAGGCTCTGTCTTAAAAATAAAAAAGAAAGAAGGAGCCAGGCATTGGTGGCACATGCCTTTATTCCCAGCACTCAGGAGGCAGAGGCAGGTGGATCCTGTGAGTTCAAGGCCAGCCTGGTCTACAGAGCAAGTTCCAGGACAAGCTTCAAAGCCACAGAGAAACCCTGTCTTGAAAAGAAAAAAAGAATGAAAGACAGAAGGAAAGAAGGAAGGAAGGAAGGGGGAGGGAGGGAAGGAAGGAGGAAAGGAGGAAGGAGGGAGGAAGGGAGGGAGAGACGGAGGGAGGGAGGGAGGGAAAGAGGGAGGGAGGGAGGAAGGGAAGAGGCAGGGAGGGAAGGGAATGGAGAGATGGCTCAGCAGTTAAGAGCACTGACTGTTCTTCCAGAGGACCCAGGGTTCAGTTCCCAGCACCCACATGGCAGCTCACAACTGTCTGTAATTCCAAGATGTGACACCCTCACATAGACATACATGTAGGTAAAACACCAATGTACATAAAAGAAAAATAAATAATTTTTAAAAAAGAAAGAAGATAATTTGAAACTATTTTGGCAGCACACAATCATCTTTCCCTGAAATAGATTGCTATAGTTTGCATCTGAGGTGACCCCCTGAGTCCCATGTGTTGAAAGCTTGATCACCAACTGATGGGACTGCTGAGAAAGAATGGAGGCTTCAGGAGATAGGGATTAGAGGGAGGAAGGTAGGTCACTGATGGAGTGACCTTTGCTTTTGGTCACCATGAAGTAAACATGCTGTCCCATGCCCCCACTATGATGTGCCATGCCACCAGCAATCCAAGGGAACGGAGAAAGTGACTACAGACTGATACATCTGAAACTGTGACCCAAACTAAACCTTTTATCCTTTTAAATTTATTCTCTAGTGTTAGAAAAGCCGAGTAGCACAATAGCCAAGACACACCACGTCTGCAGCCAAGGCCTGGTCTCCAGAGCTGCACTTGGACATAGCGATCACAAATGGGGCTGAGCAGCTAAAGGAACCTATCCCCCTACCTAGTCTCTCAGTTTCCTGAGGACCACTGCCCATAGCTGTTCCTATACTCATCTGGTAGATTAAAAAACAAAAAACTGAAGCACATTTTGTGACACCTAGGCTAAGTTGGTGACATTATATATCACCTTCTCCCTTGAGCAGGAAAAGTTCTCATGAAAAGGAGGTGATGGCTGGACATGAAACAGGGCCACCTAGACCTTCGTGCCTTGGCTCTGAGTATCCCAGGGTGATCCAAAACCTGGATGCCTTAAGAAGACAACACCCTGAATCTTAGAAGTACCCCCCATGTGGGCAAGCCCTTCTCAGCTTGCTTCACACAGCTGCCACGCAGAGGAACAGAAGATGTGTGAGCTACGACAGGTCCACTTCTTGCCCTAGTCAACGGCTTTTTAAACTAAACACAAAAACAAGACTACAGTAACAGCTGAGTGGGCTAGCAGGTGCCTAGACTGTCCAGCACTGCACAGTAGCCACCAGCAACAGGAAGTCGTGAGTGCCATAGCATCACCTGGTGAAATATCCTTATCTGCAGATAAAATACAGTCATCCCTCAGAGCCCACAGAGGACTGGTTCCAGCAATCCCTGCAGATGCCAACATGCTAGGAAGCTGAAGTTCCCTCATGTTAAATGCCATGGTGTCTTCATAGACTCTGTGCATCCTCACATGCTCTAAATCATATCCCAACACAACAGAGACACTGTATAGATAGCTACTGCTATATGTTTAGGGAATTATATCAAGAAAAAATTCTGTACATGTGTGCACACAATTGTTTTTCAATCTGGATAAGGTAATGTTCAGATAAGCAAACTGCAGAATGGAGAGAAATTGTATTTTGGGAAAGTGTGTGTGTGTGTGTGTGTGTGTGTGTGTGTGTAGGGTGCGTGTGGAAGCCACAGTTGACATTGAATGTCTTCCTCTATAATTTCTACTTCATCGTTTGAGATAGGCTTTCTCACTGGACCTAGAGTTCACCAACTTGGCTAGACTGGCTGGTCAGAGAGCCCCAAGGGTCCTCTTGTCTCCACTTCTCCAGAGCTGGGGTTATGGATGCTACGGCTGCACCCAACCTTTTATGTGGACACTGAGGATCTGAACTCAAGTTTTCATGTGTGCAGAGAAGCAAGCACTCTACTGAATAAGCCATACTCAGCCTTCTTTTATATTTCTCCTTAATTTTATATACATACATAGACACACACACATATATTGTTTGTTGAGATGATGGGGATCCAATTTAGGGCCTATCTTTGAGCCACACCCAGCACAAAGGCTAAACTACATATGAGACACACAACACTTCCATTGCATTGAGCACCTCAGCTCAGGTATCCATACGTGAAGAAAAACATTAATGTTTTCTTAGACCAGGGACTAACATATTTTACCCAGGGATTTTGACAGAGCAAGATTTCCTGCATAAGAAAATAATGTTGATGTTGCATAGTGTGGTGGTTTGGATGAGAATGGCCCCCATAGGTTCATATGTTTGAATGCTTGGTCCACACTTCGTGGAACTGTTTGTGAAGGGAGGTGTGGCCTTAATTAGAGGAGGCATATCATTGGGGGTGAGCTTTGAGACTTCAAAAGCCTATGCCATTACCAGTTAATTCTCTCTGCCTCCTACTTGTGGCTCAAGATGTGACCTCTCAGCTACTGCTCCAACGCCATGCCATGCCTGCCTGCTACTACACTCCCCACCATGATGGTCATGTATTCTAACCCTCTGAAACTGCAAACTCCCAATAAACTCTTCTATAAATTACGTGAGTCATGGTGTCTTATCACAGCAATAAAAACGTAACTAAGACAGTTATGTTACTACTTTTATTTTATTAAGAAAAATCCCTTGGAAATAGAAAGCTTAAGTGTGCTGACCAGGCTGTGGTAGCAAAAACACAATGTTAGTCAACAAGGGTCATCTTGACATATCTCATGAAATGCCCCTGGCTCTCTAGCTGTATGAGGCTGGGAGCATGCAGGATAGGAAAACCCACTAGACCTGACAGTGTTAGGAGGATGGAAAAGCTTCACACACAGGCAGCCATCCCAGCCAAGACAGACTACTACTTGTCTCTTGGCTTCGGGTCTACCACACAGGTCTTGCTTCCATCATCCTGGGGTAAGTCGAGAACCCTTGGCAGTGTGAGGAATCTACACTGTGCCACTACTACCCCCTGCATTCCAGCCCGTCCCTCACATCTTCCCTACTCCCAAGTTCAAGGCTACCCACCACTCCAGCCAGTATCCTTGCTGTGTGTGATGCACTGGGTTGGAAAGCATGACTCACTGCAGCTGAGGCTGGTATGACACTTGTCTCACATGCCCAAGAAAAATAAAAGAAGGGGAAGGGGGATAAAGACAGAATAAGGGACAAGTGGGGGTCTGTCTTATGCAAAGGCTGGAGATGTACTTAGGACCTATCAGTCACTTAGCTGGATGGAGGAGATGCTTCAGTAACAAATATTCCAAAGAAGAAACTCTTCTCCAGCATCCACTGCCCACCCAACCACCTTGACTGTCCTTCAGTGGGTAACTGTTTCCTGTTCCCTCCTGTGCACCTGCTGTCCCTCCGCAAGGAACTCCCGCCACAGTGACTTATCACTCACGGCTTACATTTCCATCCCTTCCCTGGCACACAAGGCAAACCTTCACCTGCTATTCTAAAACACCGATCAGTTTCCTCTCTTTTCAAGACCTACTTCTGTAGTCTCCATGACATGAATGAAAGCTCAGTGACAGCCAGCACTTGTCTGTCCCAGGAACTGTACCTCAGCAGTCCCTTTCTGAATATTGATCATATCTGTGAATAAATGAATATGATCACATTAAAAAGTGGATTAGAGGCTGCTTCTGGAAGAGATGTTACAGGCTGTGTGAAACATGGTTGGTTAAAAAAAAAAAAGGCAACACACAGGAGAGGAGACTCAGATAGACTCAGGAGCCTGGGGAGATGCCCATGAGTTTGCACGAGTTTGCAGGTGGTCGAACCAAGTCCCAAGATGGCCAGGGGCCCACCACTCCCATCCCGTCCCGACTGGACTACGTTCTCCACTCCTCTGACCAGAAGTGTGGAGCCAGGGACAATGACGGCTGCCACTCATCTAACAACAGCTCCCAAATGTAGTTAGCTGCCTTCTCCCTGCACGCACTCACACTCTTGACATCCCATGCAACTCTGACAACTCCAGGAACTCACATGCAAAACCCCAGGCTCACACTTTCCCAGAGACTTCCAAGCTTAATTTCCCAGAGCAACATAATCACAGACACAGAGGCGCCCCTCTGCTACAACACAGGTGACAGGATTCGCGCACGTTCCAGCAATTCCCAACACTACCACCTCCTCCAGGCCCCGCCCATCGTTGCTTAGGAACAGAATAGCCCCGCCCACCAAGCGTTGAAGGCGTAGCCTGCTGGCTCGGCCTGGACCATCCCGGACTCTCGGTAGAGCGGAGCTGCTGTGCGAGCTGTACCTGTCTGAAGTCGATATTGCTGAGGCCTCCGCAGCAATCGTGTCCCGCCGCCGAGCTGCTCATAAGTGCGGCTGCCGGACTCGAATTTCCTTCCACCCCATAAGCTCCCTCAGGAGGTGACACGTGGGGACCTCGCCCCAACACATAGCAGGGGAGCCAGCCCTTAAACACTTAAGGAAGGGCGGCAGGCCGGGAAGCTTTCCTGGTGTCCCCAACGTCTCCTGGCCTTCTGGGAAATGTAGTTTCCGGACTCTGCCCCGTGGGGCGCACTTGCAAGTCACAAGAAGCGGAGGACTACAAGTCCCAGGGTCCTATTGGACAGAGACTGCTGGTTACAAAAGGACTCGGCAATATCCCTCAAATTGAGACTATTACCCTGCTTCTTTGGGACCCATGGCTGCACCCCACACTCCAGCTTACCTAGTTTTCCCTGAGAAAGGATAAAAAAGGAAAGAACCCTCACTCCAGAATATGGTTGTAACACTTTTGGCAGCTGAGGATCAAGGATTCCAGCACAATTAACTCTTGCTGTGAAAGTTGCCTAGATACAGTGTTCCTTTTATATGGATCTTTTCAAATAAGAATGTTAAACAGCAATTCACCAAGCTTTAAGGCCTGAGAGTATATAACCTTTCTACTTTCCCAGTTACAAACCTACAATTTTCTAGGAGTCTCACAAACCCCATTTATAGTAATTAAAAGACATTTCTTGACGCCCTTGTGCCACCGTATTTATTTTTCCACATTACAATCCTAACCAAGGCGCCTTTGGAGCCACCCTGTGATCTCGTTTGTCGAGGGGGTACGGTTATCAGCCCTCCAAGATGTACCTTGAAAGTCACCAGGATGGCTACCGACACTTAAGTGTGGCTCTCCTCTGAGAAGCCCACACCCACACTCTGCAGTGTCTTTCTTCTTCTGAGCACCTCTTTTTATTAATCCCCATGCTTATATCTATTCTAACCCTCCCCAATAAATTCTGCTTTAAGCTGCCTTCTCCTGAGATTCTTTCCACCATAAAGTGAAGGATCAAGCTTTACCTGAGAGAAGGTCCCTGAAGGATAGGAAGCTAGGTCCTTTGGTATACAGGACTAGTGACTACAGACAGTGATCTGGAGATAAAAGTAACTTTATGTACACCCCTCTACCATCTGACTTTTAGCCCAGGTCAGTGTCCCTCACTGCAACCCAGAGGTAGTAACAGGCCAGCGACAGCTTCCCTATACCAACACTGCTCCTCTGGGTGCCTCAAAGCTCCCAGAGCTTTTGATCCAACCAGAGGTCCCTCCTGTTATGATAAAGCATGAGGGGGACCTTAGAGGATTCCATGAAAGGTGAGGTTGACCGAGGTGGAAGGACAAACATGCCAGGTAGAGCTTACGTGAGAAGTTTCATTAGAAATGGGGGAGGAAAGAGAAAAAGGGTAAAGAGACATAGAGACAGAGAGGACAGAAGACAAGAGGGAGACAGGAAAAGTCCTGTCTGCCCCAGGGGAACAGCAGGAAAGAGAGCAGAGAAAGGGGGGGCGTAAGTGGGCGGGGTCTGTCATTTTAAAGGGGTCTTTTGCATCTGTGTGCCTGCGGACTATGCAATCATGGGACCCTGGGCTGACCAGGGTACTGCCTGAGTGCATTCTGCCAGGTGACAGGGGCAGGCCAGCATAGTGCCTGAATCCTTACACGTCCTCCACTCATTCCTTCATAGATTTCCTTATTCATTCTTAAATGTTTGCTGAACATGCCTCATGCTAATGGTGCTATGGACAGCAGCACAAGATCCCTGACATCAATGCTTCCAGAGATTAAAAAGGGGGGTATAACTTTAGTAGTATGATGGGAAAGACTGGAGGGTATATCAGATACTATGGAAGGGCACAGCTTTAGAATGCTAAGAGGAAGTGCCAAGTATGGCAAGTGCCAGCACAGGGCAAACCAGCAGGCAGGACAGCACTGGGAACACTTTGGGACTGGGGAGTCAAGCGATCTCTACATAGTGATGGGATATGGGGAGCAGGTGGGAGTTTAGGTGACAGGGTGAAGGACAATCCCTTTTGTAGCTAGTTAGACCTATGGAGAAATAGAATTCGAAATTCTAATATTTGCTCAGGCACCCAGCCAACCCAAAGCCAGGCAGGACTTCCTAATCCTTTGTGGACCACTTCTCTGCACCTTGTCCCCACCCCCTGCACCAAGAACCAAGCAGATCATGGGCAGGTGCCTGGCTTAGTTCCGTGGGACCACCTCACAGATGGTCCCAGTCTTGGGATGGCTAGGATGGGACAAGCAGACCAAGGAGATGGGAGGGACACTGGCTTTGAATGACACACTAGCTCTGGGGCCAAGCCCAGCTTTCCCTTGCTTAGGAATAAAGGAAATATACATTGGTAAGACTCATCGAACAGGAACTGACCCATGGGACCCAGCACTGGCTGCTGCTGGATTGGACACAAAAGGCTCAATAAACTGGTCTCCAAATGACCACTGCTATGCTGCTCACAATGATCAGAGGCTGGCCCTGCCCAGTGTCACAAGAAGACCTGCTAGTCAGCGAAGAGTCTCTATCTAGAGGTCTCCCAGCTGGCAACCCCCACATCTACCAGAAATGCTTTCCACTGAAGGTCCAGTCTTCTCAACTACTGGATACCTTATTGAACTGTGACTGTGAATTTCTCTGTGTTTGCTTTTTTCAGGGGACAGAGAAAGGTAAAGGGTAAAGGTCACATCAGAACTGATGCAATGTATTCCTTCCCCCTACTCAAATCACCCCACCAGGGTAGCTCTTCTCTGGTGTCGTGGACGTCAAACTTGCCACTTGAAATACAACTGGGGCTCAAGTCACAAGCCAAAGGACAGTATGTTGAGGAAGAAGCTTTCATCCGGGTCTTTGGAAGCCTCTACCTCTGAGCTTGATGTCGTCCAGGCAGTGAGGATTTTCATCCACAGCTTCCTTGTTGAGTGGAAGAGCATGTTATCCCAAGTGATGGGATGCTCACCACCTCAAAGTAACCTGCTTCTCTCTTGGGGTGTTCGTTCTTGATACCTGCTTACTCCATTCTCCATTCCTCGAGTTTTAATAAATGGACCTCTTTTCTATCCTTAGCGCTCTCTCTTGGTTTTCACACTTGAGAACATCTTCCAGTCAGCTCCAGATGCTCCTTTTGCACAGACGTTTGCCTCCATGCTGCCTTCCCTTCTTGTTGGATCTGGATGTAGCAGCTCCTGGAAGTGTAGAGGGAGGGGTTGACAAAACGGGCTTTTACTGATCAAACTAGCATTGCTAATTGAAACTATTGGTATACCATAATCCTTTCCCAGCCCACCATCTATTTTCTACCCATAAAATGATCTTCCTGTCTTGAGCACACTTGTTCTCCAGTGAGCAGACTCTGAAGGGGTCAGGATTAGGTGTGGTGGGAAGACTCTTCCAGTTCAGAGGTCATCTGGAGCAAAGGCCTTGCAGAGTTCCCAAATGTTCCCTTCCACATTAGGCTTGGAAAGTAGCCCTTTCCCCAAGTGTCCTACGTGGTGGCAAAATGGCACATGAATAAACTAGTCTGAACCCAGTTCTCCATAGTAACAGTTAGCTGAGGAACCCATCATGGCCATGGGTGCTGGTGGGGTTTCTCTGCACCTCAGCCTCAAAAGCTCACTGACCCTTGCTTCCTGTTGGCCTCCTTGTTGCTCCCACACAGATTGTAATGGTTTGAATAAGAATGGCCCCCCTGGGCTGATATTAGTCATCAGGGAGCGGCACTATTTGAAAAGGCTTAGGATGTGTGACCTTGTTAAGGAAAGTGTGTCACTGGGGGTTGACTTTGAGGTTTCAAAAGTCCATGCCAAGCCCAGTGTTTCTCTCTCTCTCTGCCTGCAGATCAGGATGTAGCTCTCAACTACCTCTCCAGCATCATGTGTTCCATACCTCTTGTCATGATTCCCACCGCAATGATAATAGACTAAACCTCTGACAAGCCCCCAATTAAATGCTTTCTTTTAGTAAGAGTTGCCTTGGTCATGGTGTATCTTCACAGCAATAAAAAACCCTAAGACAAGCCCCAAAGCTCCATCTTTTAAAAATGAAAATGAGGCAAAGAAAATATGTTTTCAGAGAGACAAAAACTGGGAGCAGATCCAGCCAGAAGAGGCACACCAGGAGGATTCTCCCAGAAATTGAAGACTGCCCCACAGAAGTTGGCATGTAAGACACAGACAAAGGGACAGAGACTTTGTGTCAGCAAATGGGAATGAGCGGTAGATACTGGCAACCATGAATCTGTCTTGTAGATTTGAAAATGTTTATATTGGTAACCGAGAGCAAATTCAGGGAAAATCAGCCCAGCTGCAGATTCAAACATTATGCTATATGTCCACAGTCCCACCCCCACCAGGACTGCTTTCCCAGCTCCCAGGAAGCTTCAGCCCAAATGGACCATGTACTAAGCCTGAGTCGGACTTCACACATGCAGAGGACTTTGGTCTCATGACATGATTCATGGCATGACTCACTCTCATACACAGTGGTACAAAAAGGGGGAGATACAATGCTTTCCTAGGTGTTTTTGTTCTGTACCGTTTCATAAGTGTGTTTGGGGAGTGTTGTTCGGTATGCAGTGCTGAGGATCAAACCCAGGGTCTCTGCTAGAAGAGTGCTCTATCATAGAACTACACCCCAGACTTAAGCAAATTTGTTTCTTTTTGCAGAAAACTCATACCTTAAGGATTTTTTTAAATCTCAAAACTTTTCAAGCCACAATGAGCACTCAAGAGTTATCCAGTTGGCTCCTGGCACCTCTCCCCTGGATTTGCCTCTGAATTTCTTGGCATATGTTTCATCTGCTTCTGATTTTATGTTCTATTTTCTTGTGAACTGTCTGAGGGGCTGGGGTGAATTTCACTGGCACTCCATGAACAGACACTCTGTTGACTCACCACAGCACAATGCTCAGGGTTAGAATTAACAGATACCCAACACTGTCAGCTGACATACAGCCCAGATCCACACTGAGACATCCTGACAATATGCACTTTTTTTTTTGGTTTTTTCAGACAGGGTTTCTCTGTGGCTTTGGAGGATGTCCTGGAACTCACTCTGTAGACCAGGCTAGTCTCGAACTCACAGAGATCCGCCTGCCTCTGCCTCCCGAGTGCTGGGATTAAAGGCATGTGCCATCACCACCCGGGTGACAATAAGCACTTCTAAAATCCCCAGCACAGGCCACATAGAGCTTGCTTTGTTCCA